CCAGTGAACCAGTACGGGTGGCTGAAAATGCCAGTAAGTAAGAGTACATTAAATAATTTGTTGTGGTAGACTTATTTATCTGTTGTGGTAGATTTACTATTCTGTAGTGGTGGTAGACCTATTTATCTGTTGTGGTAGACTTATTTATCTATTTTGATATACTTAATTATCTGTTGTGGTAGACTTAATAATATGTAGTTGTGGTAGACTTAATAATTTGTAGTGGTGGTAGACTTAATAATATATACTAATCTATAGTGGTGGTAGACTTAATAATCAGTTGTGGTAGACTTAATTATCTGTTGTCGTAGACTTAATAATATGTAGTGGTGGTAAACTTAATATCTGTTGTGCTAGACTAATCGAGTACGTTTCTATCTTATTTTGCAGCACATGGTTGCTGGCATGAATTTGTTCCGACAAAAGTCTTTGAAAAATCCAACTCCTTTCAAAAGTGAAAGGATTGCTTTTGTGGATCCGTTGTTTGCGGCCCTTTGGTGTCGAGAATACAAAGAGACTTCCTCGGAAAAGAGAAGACTTGGGTGTTTCCGTCAGGATATTTCAACCCCAATTCCAGATTTTGTTGCGACGAACAAAAATTGGGTTAAGGATGTCGACATGTTGTACATTCTTCATAATATCGCAGACGACCACTGGGTAGCTGTTGTGGTAGACTTGGCTCAAAAAAGGTGAAAGTCTATGATAGCATAATCACTATGTACAACAAGAAGTACATCAAAGAAACATGCAAGCCATACGCAAAGATGATTCCGCTGTTGCTGAAGCAGGTTGCACCCATTGCCGAAAGGAAGGGAATGAGTGAGCAGGCTTGAAATGTATACATGATCAAAACTATACCGCAGAATCAGCAATCATGTGATTGTGGTGTGTAAACGCTGAATTATATCGAGTGTTTAGCTCTTGGCCATAGCTTCGATGGCTTGTGTGATTCCAATATCACTGCTATTCGCCTCAAACTTGCAGCTGAGATTATGGACGAGTTTCCAGAGGATGAGGTTGTTCAGTTATCTGATCCAAACCCTCGTGCTCAATCAGATGATAAGGTTTCTTTGCAGACGGATTCTCTACAGTGAAATGGGAGGTGATGGTAGACTTATTTTGGGGATGATGGTAGACTTATTTTGGGGGTGATGGTAGACTTATTTTGGAGGTCATGGTAGACTTATTTTGGGGGTCATGGTAGACTTATTTTTGGAGGTCATAGTAGACTTATTTTGACAAGTCCTTTGGTCACCGTATATTTAAATTATTTTGTTATCACACACATTTAAATCTTGACGGTAGACTTGTATATTTCGTTGTCGCAGATATATTGACTAAGTGCGCGACAATTAGGTGTAACTAGGTCTATACTTTCAAAGGACCATGTATGTATGACCATGGTAAACTTGGTGGTCCTTCGAAAGTATGGTAGACTTATATGACCATTTTTTGTAAGGTAATGATTTGACAAACTTTTTGTAGTCTAAACATGATCGATGGGTTATTATATTACTGTTTTCAGTACAAGAAACCAAGTCATTACGAAAAGATAGACATTGTACTACACATACATTTAAGCTTTGCAAGTCCTCCGATTATGGCCGTGTTGGTGACAATTACCACACAAGCTTTCATTTCTAGGCCTCTTCCGCTCCATAGCAGTTTCCAATGCACCTTTTATCCGTGACAGTTTTGGTCTACCTGGTGGTTCACGAACCATAGGCGGATTACAAACTTTTGAGGCCACATCTTCCGGTACGGGCAACGCAACATCTCTTGGCATTACACTTTGTGAGTAACCGTTGTACAAGTAGCTCTGAGAAAAGTATGAATGGGCAAGGGAGATCCGTGACTTCTTCGTATTTTCG